GGTTCAGGGTTTAGGGTTTAGGGTTTAGGGTTTAGGGTTTAGGGTTTAGGGCCTTGGGCTGAGCGCTTAGGCGGAAGTCTGCGCGGAAACCAATAAAGAGTCCCTGAATGCGCCTGGGTCTGGGAGCTTCAGCCCTACCCTAAACCCTAAACCCTTAACCCTAAACCCTAAACCCTACACCCTAAACCCTAAACCCGAACCCTAAACCCTAAGCCCCAAAAGAAATGTAGAGGAGTATAGGCTTGAGAGATGCAAATCCCTGGAGCTGCAAGCCCAGATGCCCTGACCATGCAACAGAGCCCAGCGACCTAGCGTCGACAAGCTCAGAAGAATCCTTGAACATTATAGGGTTTGGTTTAGGGTTTAGGGTTTAGGGTTTAGGGTTTAGGGTTTAGGGTTTAGGGTTTAGGGTTTAGGGTTTAGGGTTTAGGGTTTAGGGTTTAGGGTTTAGGTTTAAGGGTTTAGGGTTTAGGGTTTAGGGTTTAGGGTTTAGGGTTTAGGGTTTAGGGTCTAGGGTTTAGGGTTTAGGGTTTAGGGTTTAGGGTTTAGGGTTGAGGGCTTAGGGTTTTGGGTTCAGGGTTTAGTGTTTAGGGCTTAGGCCTTAGGCTTGAGGGTTGACTGCTTGGGGCGACATGAACCTTAAACGGGAGTGTGGTCCGTCTACCTGAATGGAGATTCGAGTACTGTGGGGTATGTGCCCTCAGATGTAGGACTCATGTCGTCCCCAAGGATCAAGACCTAGAACTTAAGGGTGCTTTTTGAGACCTGAAACCCTCAACCCTGAACCCCAAACTTTAGGCCCTAAACCCTAGACCCCAAGTTCAGCCACCAGCAAATCCCAACAACAGCATCTGAGCACGGCATAGCCCTTGCAAGGCAAGTCGACTGCCAAAGGCGATGTGCAACACCCAAACAAGAACCTGCTCAACACCCGTATCCAGACGACACGACCCACAAACTTGTTGGACAAAACCAAAACGTAACACCACCCAAACCCTAAACAAACCCGAAAACCTTCCTCTGGCGAGTCACGAACCGTACACCCGGAAGCCTGAAGTCTAAACCCTGGTTTACGGGCACGGATGGATGCATGCATGAGCGCCTGGCCTCGAAGAAAATCATTGCGCTTCAACTCCACATTGGCTGATGGATTGCGGCCGTTGGAATACTTCGTCAAGGGAAAAGCACGTGCGCTGTTGATGCAGGGCCACAAATATCGGATGTATGTCCAGCCGCGACCCAGATCGTCCATCACAGTCCGGTGAGATCATCCTCTGCTTTCTCGCCTTTCTGCCACAGCTGCTCTGGCACCAGGACTGTGTCTCCCCTTTTGAAGTCTTTGGCAGCAAATGCACCCAGCTGACCTGGCATTGAATCATATTGAGGGACCATGCAACTACCCCCTAAACCCTAAACCCTAAGCCCTAAACCCTAAACCCTAAACCCTAAACCCTAAACCCTAAACCCTAAACCCTAAACCCTCAGACTGAAGACCCAGAGCCTGAAAGGTTGTGAAACCGCGATAAAGGGGTCAGGGCTTAGCTCCAAAGCCAACAACTTTGAGGGTCTATAGGGTTTAGGGTCTAGGGTTTAGGGGAACAGGGCTTAAGGGGTTAGGGGTTAGGGTACTGCCAACCAACCTCAACCCAAGACCCAAACCCCATGTGACCAGCCTGGGCGGAGATGGTGATCCCGAAGGGAAGCGCCTTTGCTGCCCAGGCGGTCGGCACAGCCAAGCCACCTGCAGGGGTCTTAGGGCATCGGGTTTAGGGTTTAGGGTTTAGGATTTAGGGCTTAGGGTTGAGGGTTTAAAGATGTCTTGAGTTGTTGAAGTGCTGTCAGGTTTGTGGGCCTCGGCAAGTAAGATAACAAGGCTTTGAGGTCGTTGTCTCGAACACATTTGGGGCTGAAATGGCTTACTTGAAGGTTCACCGATGCATCTAAGCAGGGTGGGGGGGGGGGGGGGGGGGGGGGGGGGGGGGGGGGGGGGGGGGGGGGGGGAGTTTTTTTGGGTTCATCGCACCAGGCCACGTAGATTTGAAGAGAAATTACACGTGCATCTACCGTTCGTTTGCATTGCTTTAACGTGGGCTCTGAACTCTTAAATTGATTAATACTTATGCCCGGGGAACACTATTGTGAAATTAACGTGCCCGTTGAAAGACAATGCTTTTCATGCAGGCTAATTTAATACACTAAACAGTGAATTAGCGACCCAAATGAGCGTGATGAGCATCGTGAGCTGCATATGCCCCAATGAATGAATGATCTCTATTTAACGAGGTTTTTACGTGCCCGTGAGGTGATGCTTGTAATACATTAGGAGTTCTAAACGGGCGATAACAGTACTATATTCACAAAACCCCTTCACGCAAACCAAAAGATAGGAAGATATTCAGACATTCCTGATGCAACAAATGACAGGGAATTCCAGGAATTAACGGAATCTGGAGAGGATGGGGTTCTTCTTTGCATAAGTTAAATCCTGAGAAATGCACATGAGTTTCCTGAGCAGTCATTGCTTTGTTTCCGAGTAGGGGTTATTCTTCTTACCGTTTCCCGAAGGCTGGGCATAAGGCACACTCGGGAGCCTGCGTTCAGATTTGGGGAGAGGGATAGAGGCTCAGGTGTTTGAGCCTCAGGTTCGAGGACATTTTAAATAGACCCCAGGCATCGTAGGCCCTAACCCCTGAGTGCTTCTGCTTCTGAAGACTTCCACACGCAATGCGTCAAAGCCGCAAAGGTCCAGAAGGTTCATGTGGTTTGTAAAACCTTGGCAGTGGAGTTTGCTTCAGGGCTTCAGGCTAAGGGCATTCGGCACCCCGAGGCCCCCAAACCCTAAACCCTAAACCCTAAACCCTAAACCCTAAACCCTAAACCCTAAACCCTAAATCCTAAACCCTAAACCCTAAACCTCCCCGAAGACCCTGAGCCCAGAAAGCGGCCCTGGATTTGCAAAGGTGCCGGGGCATGGACCTCCCACATGCCGCATCAAGTATAGGTTCATGGTACTTGTTAACCAATATACGGTTTAGGGTTTAGGGGTTTAGGGTTTAGGGTTTAGGGTTTAGGGTTTAGGGTTTAGGGTTTAGGGTAACTGTACTCATACCTGTACTAGGCACCTAAGGGGCTTATAAGTGGGTTGTAATTACAGCTATCATGGGTTCAGAAGTACCATGAACCTCCAAGTATAGACGTGTGCAGCCCGCGCAGGAACCTTCAACCCATTTAAGGTTCCTGGAGTCCACAAGTTTAGGGTTTAGGGTTGAGGGTTGAGGGTTCAACCCTAAATCCGTCCGAATCCTGAGCTGGGTTGAGGACATGTCCAGGCTTAAGGGGCTCAAGGCTTCGCCCCTGATCAGCCCTCAAGCAAAGGGGCAAAAAGGGCAACCGCGAGGGGGTTCTAACAAGCAAATTGGCGTTGCCGTGGCTAAAGAGCAAGGTGAAACTCAGCGAAAGTGTGTGCGCAACTGCAGAATGTCAGCAAAAGAGAAGGATCGCAACTCTAGCACGGAATGAGCCTCCGATATCAAAGCCTCCCTACTTCTGAGGGCGCGGTACCATACTACAGAGAGAGTTTGCAAGGAACAACTGGCGGCCAGCACCACTGAATCGCTCAACATCGCGGGTGGGCAAGCGAAAAGCACATCTACGAAAGCAGACTACGGATGCAGGCCAGCTCAAGAGGACAGAAGGAGATCCCAAAATGTTCTGGTCAAGGCAAGTCCCGATGGTTTAGGGTTATAGGGTTTAGGGTTTAGGGTTTAGGGTTTCGGGTTTCGGGTTTAGGGTTTAGGGTTTTTTTTGCTAGGGCCCTGCGCGCTTTTGCTGCATAGCGCGCTTCGGCGCCAACTCAAAAGAGGAACTGCGAACCAGCTTGGCAATGTCAGCATAGTGGGAGTGTGGTCCTAGAGGTCCTCTAGAGGCGGTGTGGTCGGGGAAGTACCTCTGGCTCATGACTTCTATCCAGTAAGGGAATTGCATGCCTTTACGCCGACCTTGGTTCAGGATTCTATCTTTGTAAGGAGAGTTAAATACCACATTATGAATGGGATCCTGCATGTCTGACTGGAACACTGCTACGAACCTCTTATATTGCACCCAATGCAGGCGACCGGAGGGTAGGGTGGGATGTCCCGCCTGTCTCCATACCTCTTGGTTGGGAATTCTAGAGTAGTATGAAGCTTTGATGCCGATGGAGCGTCTGAGAAATCTGAGATATTGGGCATCTATCCTGCGTAGCTGCGGTGTGGTCAGGGTAAGGGAATCTAGTCCGTAAAGAAGCACGGGGAGGAAGGTGGCTTGGAAAATTTTGACCTTAACTTTACGCTTGAGGGAGCTATTCCAGACAAGTCTAAGCTTCTTATACGCTTGTTCCGCGAGCTGCAGCCTATGTATGAAGGCGGACTCGAAAGGGGCCTTCCAGGAGATTTTACACCCTAAATACTTTACTTGCGTTGTGGTCTTGACTAGCGTCCCGTCGCTGAATTGCACCTTTGGGGTTTCCCAGTCTGGGTGGGTTAGGAGCTCGGTTTTATCTTGGTTCAGCTTCATACCATACTCTGCAGCAATTCCCTCAAGGGTTCTTAAAATGTGAGTGAGTTGCGGTGTGGTTATGCCTAGAAGCAAGGTGTCATCAGCATACTCCAGATCGAACGTAGGGAAACCTACTGACCAGGTGTTCGTGGGCTGACCTTGTTGTAGTAGATCACTTTCAACATCGCCTAGAATTACAGAGAGGACTAAAACGAAGAGGTATGGACTAAGAGGACAGCCCTGCCGAATTCCGGACGATACCTTTCCCTGACTTAGAGCGCCATCCATTATAAGGACAGCTATAATTGGTTAATGAAATATCATGAACCGCATGTCAGGGCCGCGCCGCACCTAAGCTTCTAAAGGCTTGTGGGGTGAAGGAATGAGGGCTTAACGCTTCTTGGGTCTGCTCTCTCTCATCCAGCTCTTCATCAGACATGGCAGAGATGCGGGTGAAGCGAGAC